AATCTTAAATAATTGGTCACAAACCCTCTAAATTCCACTACTAACCCCAATCCACCAGGCAGCACCACTTCCAACAACCACCACTTACTAGCAAAATCGTTGCCACCGTCGCACAAAAAACACCAACAAATCCAATCTACAACAACGATCACACCACTACTGACGCTGCGATGATCACCCAACAACTAGCAACCACCACTGACATCGACACTACCACCACCAACAAGCGTAACAAACAAAAATCACCAAAAAAAAAAAAAAATTAACACTGCCACAAAACTCATGGAAATCGCCAAAACCTCAGAGCACAGCCACCACCACCACCAACTGCACATAATCGTCGCCGCCGCCAACAACCCTACATCCACTTTCAAAAATACTCCACTACCCAAAACCCTACTACAGCCCATACCTAGCCTACCTCATTAGCTGACCTAAATTCATCTTCCTCCTCCAAACCCTACAGCAACCACCATCGCTGGTGTTTGATTTTGGCATTACCTTATTGTTTGCCTTTGCATACCCAATCAATTGCCTGGTGTCTAATTCTGGGACACCATCAGCTATAATAGCCTTAACTTTAATGGTTAGCTGCTTAAGAGCAGACAAGGACGAAGCAGCAGCACTGCAAGAACAGCAATTGGCAATGAATATGTACAAAACTAAATAGAGAAAGAAGAAATGGGGGATCTGAATCTGAATCTGAATCTGAATCTTTATCCACTACCTCACCACCATTGCCAACACCATTACCACCCACCGCTACCACCACATCGCCACCAACAATTGCAAAACACAAATCAACGATGGTATTAGGTCATCTTACCAAATGAATCCCCAAGCCGTAATGGCGATTCGAAAGCGGTGATCTGAGATCTATGAACTGCGACGAACAACTAAGAGTGCTTTTTCAATGAACGAAGACCGATGGGGTCTTCGCGTGAAACTACCACAAAGCCTGTATTGGCTTTTTTCTTGTGAGGCACCGTTGTACTCACCACCTTCCGTGCGGTTGCTCAAGAGAAGCGCCACCTTCCCGAGCAGGGCCGCTACTTGGGAGAGAAAATTAGAAGGGAGAGAGATTTAGGGTTGCTATTTGGGGGGTTGGAATCAGGTTCTATGTTTTAATTTTATTTTTTAAAATTAAATTATTAAAAATTTAAATATCTTCTAATTTTTGAAAAAAAAAAACTTGTATATCTTAATTTTGAATTTAAAAGTCTAAAATCTGGTTGCTTGTAATTTCCTCATTAAGTAATGGGGTTTTTGACATCTAAATAAAGTATGGGCCGGATTATATGTGTAGAGATCATATACATTAGGGTTTGTATTTGACGATGGGTCGAATAGATATGGAAATTATATATAAGGTTATAATCCCTAATTTATATGCAATTCTAATTTTTTGTGTCATCCAATAACACAAGAATTAATAAAGAAAGCATACTGAAGAGGAAGATCTAAAATCCATAATCAAGAATCAAAAAAAGGATTGGAGCAATTAAATTGAAAAACAAGAAATTAAGATTTAAAGATTAAAATTCAAAATTCAAGATTCAAGATACAAATCAATGAATCAAGGTATGTTCCGTATTAATTTTCTGGATGATTTGATATGGAGATCTTGCCTATTCATAATATTTTATAAAGTTTAAGTTTTATAAAATATTCAACAGGTGGTATCAAAGTCAACTTTATATTAAAACCATTAAGAATGAATTTTAGGGTTGATGAAAATTATTTAAATTAGGATTTTGCTATGTATATCCATAGTATACACCCTTGTGTACACTGCTCTGTACACATAGCGAAACCCTTTAAATTATGCATGAAGAATTGGAGGTATTTTGTGGGAAGAAAAACAATTTCCTACTATATTAAAAAGGACAGTTTTGGGTTACTGTAGATGCAATAGTAACCCAATGAGATTTTGCTGTACATTTTCCCAGTTTTCACACCTTCAGTCCTCCAGTTTTATACATCATTTTTCCCCTAATTTGCTATAAAAACTTTGAATAGTTAGGTATTTATTCCTGTATTATTCTTTATTCTCGCCCATATATTTAGAATCACTACAATATAACCAAAAGAAAATGACTGTTCACCTGTGAGATCAGAGATTATTGAATAGGACAACATTTCCAACTATTATTTAATTTGTGAGCAGGCAAAAGTTAACATGATGAATTGAAATATCATAATCGTTAGCACTCATAATTAAAAAAAAAAAAAAATTTCTCCGTGCTATACGGAGAGAGTCTCTGCACGTAAAAAAAGTCTCTGTGCTAAAGGGAAAGTCTTTGCGCACCACGGAGACATCGTATCTCCGTGGTGCTCGTAGACACGATGTTTCCGTGGCTCTCGATAGTTTTAGATACAAGTCTTTCTTTTTTTTTTTTCAAATTGATTATTCTTTTTCGTGTTATTAAGTTTAGGCAATAACGTTTGCTTACATTTTACACAAACTAAATACAATTTTACTTATTAATAATTTGTTATGTACTATTTGTATTTATATTAAAATAGGTTGAAATTTAAGTTAGATTTACTTATAAATTAATTATATCTCTTCAACAAATACATAAAAATCAAAATTCCTTTCGGAAGCATTACCCTTGAGCCCCCACGAGAGGCGCTGCCACCTCGACCACCACGATCTAACCAGGTAGGTCGATCCTCGTCGGGGGTGCTGCCCCGAGCCCCCCCTGACCGGACAGGTCGATCCCCGGCTTTCTGGGCCGCTGCGCTCGGGCCCCGCTGTCCCCTCAACTCCTACGACCTGACTGGGTAAGTCGATTCCTGTTTTGAAGCGGCAAACTATTTGCATAACAACAATAAACAAATAAATTATGAAAAAATATATT